GCACTCCCCGACCCTTCACAACCGGAGCTGATAGGCTTGAAAAAGCCATTTGGTCTTCTGCTTCCGGGCCTACATGCTTTTGCGTCGGCCGCAAGAGATGAAACGACGCCGTTTTGTGCACCTCTTCACCCTTCGACATTCGCGACCTCGCAAACGGCCTCTCATGTAGAGACGAGCTGCTGTCAACGTCGAGAACCGTCGCCTTCAGGCAGCATATTCAGTCGATCTGCTGACGCATCGGCTGCGGGGGATTGCAAACTTGCTGACCGCTTGCCAGTGAGCTGCTCTCTGGGCTATGGCAACTGCGATAGCACACGGTCTCTTGAAAGGAACGCCATCGCATGGTCGACTGTGCCTAGCAACGGTCTACAGAGCCCTGGAAGGAGATCCGCGGACGGGTTGTCGGATGAAACGAAGGCTCCAGTCCCGGTGCCAGGTTGTCTTGGTTCAGGCGCATGGATCAACGAAAGCCAGATTGGCCATGCGATGACTTGCTTTTGCCTGGACTGCAGTCTCGATCGCGCCTCAGGGGGTCATGACGAGGCCCTCAAACGCATGATGCTCGCCATGATGATGTCGACGGTCGAGTTGTCGGGCTCGACGAACGTTGGAGCCTTGACGACGACCAACGGGGTCAAGAGGTCTGAACGTCTGGACAGGTCGGCCTGAAAGTCATGATCAATGCCGCAGATGGCCACGTTGTCGAGTGATCCGTCACCACTTGGATCATATGGGCCGCTTGTCGAGGCCTGTAAGATACAGAGACTATGGTGCAAATGGTTCACACACCCATTGCCTGTGTTGGAGGAAAAAAAATGAAATTTCGCCATGAAGTGTTAAGTCAAACACTTTCCAGTCTGCATCTGATAAAGAGGAAATCTACTCTCTTGTCGCATGATTAAAAACTGGATTTATAGGAATTTCTTTGTGCAATATTGTGAAATGTGTTTCCATGTTGAAGGAAAAGTTAGTTAGAAGGAATTTGTGATGTGGTCTTACTGGAAACGGAAGAAGGACTTCTGCGAAGGGAGGACTGTTGTATTTTAGGAAGAAGTCCACGTCTCACCATCTTGCGATTTCGATGAACTTGTGCTGAGCTTACGTCGCGGCAGACAGCATCAAAGCAAGAATCCATACTTTATGGACTAGAGCAAAATTGTACTAAATATTTTCTCTTTTGCTTCGATGATGCTTTTCATAGTGGTACAGAAAAAAGCTTAGCTCAGGTTCATCTGGGTCGCAGGACAGTGAGCCGATGAATTATTCGCAAAATACAGCAGTCTTCCCTTCGTGGTATTCCTCCTTCGGTTTTCAGTTTGACCACATGACCGATCCCTCCAAAATGGTAAGTCATATCACAAAATGTCACTATGAAATTTTTAGAAACCCACTTTTTCTTCAGACCTCTTCTTTTACCGGTTAGACTTTCAGAGTCCCTTCTGAGCTTCGAACTTTCGTTCACAAGATGTCAGGACTATCTACACTTTGGGTCACTTTGTGCACACTTTCTGTTCAAGCAAAGTCTACTCGATGGGAATTTCAACTCTGAACACCATTTATAATTGCATTCCAGCAGCATTTTTCATTTGTACACACAGCCGACCCATTGTATGTACTAGTGGGATACGCATTTATTATGTTCCCAATAAATTGTAGCGTTGAAATGAGGTGTCGCTAACGCGCATCATCGAGAGTCTTACTCAATCTATTACATTTGATGGAAAAGACTTAGGGGACTTCAGCAATACCCATCAACATTGTGTAGCCTTTCGTGTGTTGTGGTTTCTGGCAGACCGACATGTGGGAAAACCGCAGCATTCTGCTGCGTAACCACATACCTCAGAAGGTCACAGGGCAGAAATGACCTTCGAGGCAAGTTAGGTCTCTACGAAATCACTTGAATAGTGAGAATAGTGTCAATTTGTCAGTTTAATTGATAAAAGTATTATATACGAAGAAAATTTGGGTTTTGAAGAATCTCTTGATTCATAATTGTTGAGCTTACTTCCATTTTGAGTAGAAGTTTTGGGTGAAGAGATTCGAAGGTCGGTTCCACCAGAAGAAGACGGCGGATTCCTCTTGACCAGCTGTCGATTGGCTTTACGGAAAGATTCATGCTGACGCTGTTTCCGAGGCAATCTCCTTTGATTCAGGTGAAAAGGTGCCAAACTTTCGTCCGTCAGATGAAGAACATCTTCAGAGCAAGGTATCATCGTCACAACAAAATTTAAGCTAACGAGTCAAGAAAACTCACCGGAAAATCCCTAAAAAGTGGAACATACAGTTTTTTAGAGATTTTCCAGTCAGTTTTATTGACTCGTTAGCTTGAATTTTGTTGTGAAGATGTTACCTCGCTCTGATGATGTCCGTCATATGACGGAC